AATGTGTCGAGTCTATGTCTCAATATGGGCTTTCTAACTTTTGAAAGTTGTAAACACTTTAAACTTGTGTGTGAGAAAATAAATTCACACAACTTTTGAATAATCATCAATATATGATACATGGCAAAACCTCCCAAAGAATGAAGTTTAGGAAGAGTATTTCTACACATCGCAATGTAGATACTCAAATAACTCTTTGAAATTATGATTTTCAACACCAAAGATTTGCCTATGATGCTTGTACATGATATAATATTCAAAAAACTCTAAGTTAATATTATCAATGCTAGGTAGCAAATTACTTTCACGTAGAGGTAAAAATGCATATTACTCATGTGTCATGGCATAGAATGTAACACATGAGACATCTCAGTTGCAAATTTAGTGAATTAATTTAGTGTTGTTTAAGTCGCCAAAAAATGGATGGCGGACAACGGATTACATTGACCCGCTACGATGCAATGTGGCAATGACACTGATGCAGATTTTGAGGCCTTCATGCACAACGTACATGGCGTCTTGGCAGGTAGGATTTGTGGAGCGCGTGGTGACGAGAAAGCCAATTCACTAGGCTCGGATCTCGTGGAGCTTCAACAACAGGAATGTCCATGACAGGTTTTGGAGATTTCGGATTTATCTGTCCCCATTCTTTATCAATTTGTATCGGAGTATGGGATTGTTGACAGAGGAGAAAAATAGGAAAATCCTGCTCGAAAGGAAAATTATCGGATCTCAGTTCGAAGGAGCTCTGGGAGGGAACGAAGTTGTCAGCAAAGATGACGACGTTGAACATGTGTGGCCTTCGGCCGAAGTCGACATGTCAGATGACGATGTTGAATAACGACCTGTGAAAAGACAAAGGAAATTGCAAATGTCTTCGGCTTCAGAAGTTGTTGGTCGACTTAGCGGGTTGAGTACCAGAAGACTTGCACTTGCGCGGTGGAGGATGGCGGATATGCATGCTCGCAGTAAGATGAATGCACGACGCAGACGGAAGAAAGTATTGAACAATGCAGAGTGCAGCGAAGCATTGTCACAGCCTCAACTATCTTTAGATCATTGGACTCCAATGGGAGCGTTGGGTACCGAAGTAGAAGACGAATGGTATTCGGTAGAAGACCTTCGGCCTTCGGAGTGGCGACCTTTAGATGTGCCTAAGGAGAGTACTTTGGCAGAAGGCAAAGAGGAAGAAGACGAGACCGAGATGGAGACTTCGGGTCAACGTCTTCGGCATTCGGATGAACTAGAAGCGATTTTGAATGAAGATCTTCGGTCTTCAGGCAAACGAACTTTAGACTTGTGCGAAGAGATTGAGAAGTCTTCGGAGGTTCCTTCTTCGGGCAAAGCTCCTTTGGAGCAATTTGCGCCGACAGTTGGGAAGAAAGTCACGGAGAAGCCGATGCTGCCTTTGTGTCTTTGGAGACAATGGAATTCGACCGAGACGAAGTACCTTCGGCCTGTGAGCCGAAATTGGCAGTGATTAGTTTGTCGGATCTTTTGAGTGAGAGGATTGTTCCGTTAGTAAAGTACTTAGATAGGAAGATGGTGATGTAATCAGTGTCATTGTTTTTGGAATCTTATGTAGAGTTGGTGCGCAAACGAACGAAGAAAAAGGCAGCAGCAACCGTTGGGGTGACAGAACGGATTGCAATCTTGACTTCAGAGTGTGCGACCGTGACAATTACCTTGCAAGAGCAAGAAGAGCAACTTCGGGCGAAGGAGTTGGAATGCAAAAATCATTGGCGAAAGTTAGTTGATGAAAGTAGACTTCGTACGTCGAAGGAACAAAAGTGCAAGAGCCTTCGAATTGAAGACTGTGCAGTTCAAAAGGAGAAGAAGAAACTTCGTGACGGATTGAAGGAGTCTTGGGGGATGTTTCAGAAAGAATTTCAACACGCGGAGGAGATGACCGAATGTTTGATGACATAGTAGCGGTTTGTTGTTTCTGAAGTAGCTCGTTGGAAGAATCAATTAGCCACCAGCGAGGCAGCCAGATCTTTGAAGTTGAAGCCCGGAAGAGAGTTGGGTGTAGATTGCAGAAGGTTGCAATCTCAATTGTCGGAAGTTGAGGAGCAATTGGCCGCTGCTCAAGCAAAATTGGTGGAGACAGAGGCGACCATCTGACGTCTGGAACATGATACAGATGTTGGTTTGTGAGCTAGAGTACAATGATGTCTTCGCGTTTATGTGAATTGAGAGATCTTGACCACAAAGTGGATGAAGTTAGAATCGTTGGAGCGTAGATTGAGAGAACTGGAAACCAGCGAGGTGATAGGACATCAATAGTTAGGTAGAATAGTTAGTTCTTTCATATCTGGTTTGGAAGAGACTTGGAAGAACTTAGAGTTAGAGCTTGCAGCAGTTCTGAGTAGGATAGGAGTAGCTAGGAGCTCTGCGGGTGTGAGAACTACTAAGTCCGTGAACGTCGCACCTGATGGGAGCTCGCAACTTGTGGGTGATGCCTCCAAAGGTTCATTGTGAATAAAGTGATCCAAGGCTCTACCTTGAGGGGCTTTGAGAGACAATTGTCATCCTAAGTATATGTTCCTACGCACGTTTGTGAGTTGTGCGTTTTGTCACAATGCGAGAGTTGCTTCAATTTGTCGAAGATATCGCATCTGAAGTAGAATAGCCAACTCCGGTGTTCTAAGGTGTTGCATAGTGTAGCTCAAGATTTAAGCAAACCTGTGTATTGGTTGCTCGGTGCAGTAGGTTGAGCGTGTAATCTTAGAAAGGTCCACCCCTAAATATCAAGTGCACATTTGCTTGCGGTTTTGTGGTGTTTATTGAGCGAATTTTAGGATTTTGATGTGATTACACCCTGCATTTGTATAGCCTTTAAGTTATCATTTGTAGATGCTTTTGGGAGTAACATGTGACTAAGAAGTAAAACTTGTCAATAGAATGTTTAATGTGACCGTCTTTGAAAATTTGGTATTGTTTTCTCCTCGTGGAATCAAATCCATACCATCAATTAGTATTTATCTGTTGTTATATGAACTTCTTTTTGACATAAAAAAACTCTGAAACTGTTCACATTCTAAAATTTGTTCACATAGATCCTCATCTAGAAGCCAAAAGTTAGCATCACGTCAGCGATCCGTGTGCTTGTTAGGATTTTCCGGCAAATCATCCATTTAGTAAGAGTGGGATGGATGGTGATGATAAGATTTTATCTCCTTGTACTTGTTCATGAAAGTTATATAAGGGAGAGGAGAACCATTGTTGGTATCTCTCATTTTCAGAGTTTATGTTTCCATCTTTGAGTGAATTTTTCTCTAAACCCTAGTGTTAAAGAAATTAAATCGTGTTAAGCCATTATTTTACAACACGAATATCACACAAAGTCGAGTCCAACCTACTCAATCATTGGAGAATCCGGGTGAAAGTTTACGGGTCATCATAATCAATCCATTCAAGATTACTGCCAATACTAAGAGACTCAACTCAAAAAACTTAACGTTCTTCGAGTTTCTCCAACCATATACTTTCTTTGACAAGAGTTAACCTAAGTTCAATACTAAAAGTAGAAGATACGTGTGTACATGACAATATCACCAAATGTGATCTTTGAGTTGAGACTCTTAGCGATATATAGAGAATTATTACTAGGTCTGATATGTTTAGATATACTCAAGTAATACATTGGAACCAAGCGACAATTTAGACTAGCCGAAATCCTATAGCTGAGTCTAGCCAAAATTCTACATACATCAATATTAAAAATTATATCATCAATATTATTATTAAACATAATTGTATCAAATAAATTTTCATGCCAAATATGAACCTAACTAATCAATGTTAGACTCCATCAAAATTCAAATTAACAGATCTAATCCACTCAATGTTACAAGATTAATCAAATTTCATAAATATTAAATTATTTGATAATAAGAAAATATAGAAAAAATTTCCAATGTAACATATGTGATAAAAATAATAATTTCTAAAAATCATACATCATCAACAAGTTTGATGGATTATATAGTACATAACTAACATCTTTGATCTTCAACGTTATAAATTTTTGTCACGTGATTACTCTTGTCTCATTTTCAATATATCTTTTTCTCTAAAAATATATACTTAAAAAAATTTACGAATTTATCTTCAATATCCAAAACGTTTGTCTTTGCATAAGTAGATTGCATGTATTTATCCCGACTTAAATAATTTCATGCATATATATGTGACATTGTTATTGTAAATATTACTTGTCAACTGCAATAATATGTGATAATTTGAAATGTATTTGAAACATTTTATGATTTCCTCATGATAGTTTACCTCTATTCAAGGAGAAATTACATCCAAGATTGTAAGTAACAAGCATCTGAAAAACGCGTCAGATGTAGTGTGTGAAACCAAGTTTTATGATGATGATTGAAGATTCTCACTTATCAGCACTACATCCATGATTTGAGAAAGCCACATTCGTTTTCGCGAATACTAATCATCAGCTTGTCACACTTGACTTGCTATCTTGATGCAGAGTTTGTGATAACATCCCAAATCTGTATAGAAATGCCTATGAATTATGATAGATATTCCTTTCTTAAATACCTTCATTTGGTTAAACAGAGACCGAGGGTCACTTGCAAAATCAAAGTGTGATCGCAGATAAAAGACAAATGATGTTTCGGCGAAATCTTCCAAAAAAAATTTACTTGACGTTTAGGTCTATGGGTTCATTGGTTCTCCCTGTAACCAATATTCATTGGTTCTCCCTGTAACCAATATTCATTGGTTCTCCCTGTATCAAGAGGTATTTGTACCGGGTCAGTCAAATATTCTCCCTGTATAGGTTCAACACTGCTAACAGATGTTCATAAGTATACATACATTATTATTTAAAAAGTCATTTCGAATCAAAACAATGGCTCAAAGAAGCATTACACCTTCTAGCAGATCCATACTGACCGGAACGAGAGACACATCATAAACAAGGGCGACTCCAGTTTCGCTATGGACCAAATTTGGTTCCAGTAGTCCATCTAGAGTTTGTAATGCTGTAGTCCTCTATTTGAATAATTGGAGTACAAGGAAGTTTAGATACAAGCGTAATTACATGTCAACAGTATTTTGTAGTGGTTCGACCAGATATGGAGAAACTCGCTCTATCAAACAACGATAACAACGCTATTCACGACTTAATTGCCATCTTTGCAACGGCGAGCACCTATAATTGACAAAGCGGTAAGCTTCGGCACTATGCAGAAGATAACGATACGCGTCTTACCTTCAAACTACACATTGATACTCGTACTCACATTGTGGGAAGAAGTCACAGCAACAGTCACAAAGTTGGCATCCACAAGATGGTCTAGGACTCTCCCTATACTCTTGTCTTTGTCCTGGATTGCTCTAAAATTTTTTTGCCCTTTCTTCCGTATTTATATTCATGATGTTTTCCCACCATCAGTTTCTGTCCCATGCGTCTACTTTTCTCTCACAACTGCTACAACATGCTTTCTGGACTGAGTTTAAAAGACACTTCCCAACTGGTGTTTGCAAACGTGAGCGACAAACAAGAATTAAGACGCAACTTGCTGAGCAAAGAGATCACTCAGAACAATTGCTAAGCTTGGAGTAACATAAGCTTGCTTGACGGAAAAAACTGAAGTAGACTTGCAAGGTCATTGGAGTGGATGACCGAGCACCCATCAACTACCAGAATATAAAAAACATAATAACTTGCTTTCTCTGCACTCCACTTGGGACTGCACCGACGGAGCCATACGACTCCTAACTCCTGAGCCATAGACACAGATAAAAATGTTGTGATAGCTTTTTCAATTATCAATTAGATATTCCAAAATTTAAGCCAATATCATTCTCCGAAACTCTTTCGTTCCAAAGCTCTTGACATACAAACTGTAGCTACATAAGTTGATATCTCAGCACAATGAGCTAGAATTCGGACTTCAAATGATTTAAAGAGCAGGGTACCAGCTCCGTTGCAAAATAGACATGTTAAAGGAGATCTACCAAAGAACTTGTAACTGGAGTTTACACTACAGATCCTCACGATGTGCAGTAAGAAGCTCACCTTGCGTTTTGAACGCCCCAGCTATCTGCTATCTTCCACTGATAAAACTCAGCCACGTAAGAAATGCTTCACAAAAGAGGATGGTGCCATGAGCAACTTCAGAAGCATGACTCGAACAATTTACCAAGCCAGAAGAAAGAGTAAGCAAACAGCAATAAAGTCGAACTGGAGAAAACTGCTGGGAGGTACTTTTTGTGTGTACAGTATGTACAGTAATAAGATATATTGGAAATTCGTATCACTGATAACTTCTAGGAATATACTCTTTCTCTCAGCGGCAAAAAATCGACCTCTACCTGCGGATGGATCGTCGACCTGTACATTCCTGGATAATGGTCAAACTTCGTGCTAGTAGGTCTTGTTCTCCAAGGATCGCATACGCTTCGTTATGAGATCAACGGCCGCATTAGCAGAGGAGAAAGCCCCGTGAAAGCTCTCTTTGAAAGAAAAGGTCTCTAGACCTCGCACCATTTGCATTAGAATATCTCCTACATCCAGTTGCTGTTCTAGCAGACAATAGTAAAACACTTTCGAACAACGCTTGCTAATTTCTTCATTTGCAGGCTCCGGACAATACTCGTCGTCGAGCCATTGGTGTAGTGCACCTCTAAGCCACTCTGCTTCCTGCGACCAAGAAGATAAAACAGGGCTTTTAAAAGAGAAGAAAGTAAGATAGAGAACAGGGGTACATTTATGCATCTACTTGGGCGTTCTTGCTACAAGTCATCAACAAATATTATTCTGCCCTGTCAAAGCAGTTTTGTCCAAGCTAACCTCTACACGAATTAAAAGGTGCTGTAGCAGATTTCGAACCTATCATCCCCTGCGGCATACAATGTCGGCCCATGACGACCGTAATTTCTAAAGTGATACAAATTATTATCACAAAACACAAAGACAAGCAGAATTTCAAAAAGTGGAGAGAATCCTCGTCAGCTGTCCTGAAAAGCTGAAAAACATTTGGCACATTCTTCATGTCCAAAGAGACGGACAGTGCAATTCGGCATCGGAATTACGATGGACAAGAGAAATACCTGAGCGGCGACTTCGGGAACTACCCAAGCTTGTGGTACTCGGAGGTCGTCGAGAAACTCCGACTCCTCAGTGTCCTCCGCAGGCCCAGATGAACAACGTGTTCGAGCACTTGTGTTCTCCCATCCCGCGGCATGGCCGTTAAAAACGGAACTCGAAAGCTTTCGCCGCCAGGAGAAGCTCTTGACGATTACAGTCCTCGCGCATTCGTCCGATGGAGGAAAACATCCGGACGACCTCGACCTCGTCACGGGGGCAACGGCTTTCGCCAGGTGCTGCAAAATCGCCATTAGCTCGGCAACAGCTAAACCGCGGTGTGCCGACTCGCGAATCCTCCACAATCCAGAATCTCGCGTCGGCTCGATAAGGCTGCAGTCACCCACTTCGGTGCCAAGTAGGCGTAAGAAGAAGTCGTCCTTCTTGCCAGCTCCAAGCCAATGTCCACTGGATTTTACAAGATCCTCGACGCTTATCCTCCGTATCTATCTGGAACTCCGAGTATTAGAGAATTCAGTGACCCCTGTCTGCGCATGTTGGAATCATTGGTCAAACATTTCGTGCTTCCTACTTGGGTGTGTGATGCTAGCGTAAAATTGAGTAATCTTTTCCAGAAACAGTAGTAAATATAGTTTTCAGAGGTTATTTTCAATTATTTTGAAAGATGCAATAATTCTTACAATCAGTACAGTAAACATTCTGCCACCTTATTGCAAGACTAATTATCTTTCAAGAGTTTCATCAAATGTTACAACAAATTGAATGATCTGTGTACACAACCTTTACGATTTTCTTTTAAAATTATTTTTTTGCATCCTTATCTCAATAGTGTAGACTGTTATAAGTATTGTCAACTATAGTAGTTTTGTTCATAGTTTATGTGACATTAATTAATCTATTCATTTCCTCATAATTTTCAAATAGTAATTTTTTTATTTACAATATTATTAACTAAATTTTATCCGAAATAAAATTTACCAAAGTGATTACTATGCAATTCATTTTCATTGAAATGAATTCAGATAATTATATTTTATTCTCATGAAGATTATTAAATCTTAACATTTTAATTGTCAATTCACACTTTCTAGAAGTTTTTAAGTTGACATGAGTAAATGTCAGGTGGAAATTGAAAAATCTAGACATTCAACTTACCATTTGATCAAATTTAGATTTATTCTAAACAATCAAATATTATTATTACATCAATTTAATCAGAATAAAATGTAATAAAACATAAATCTATGATATTTATTTCATTATTCTAAAATATTTTACTTCTTTTTAGGGAGAGTCTAGTTATAACTCAATTTGAGCTAATTATACTCATCCAAGACAAATATGCACTACTTCTACCCTTTACCTTCTCCTCGCGAAGACTATATCACAAACATAAGAATAGCTCTGACCAATCACAAAGCTCTGTTCTGTATAATATAGTAGGGTGAAGGATAATTAGTCCAAACTCAAGGATAACTAGTCTCTCCTTATTTTTAATTATAATATTTTTAGTAAAAATATCTAGTTTAATTAGTTAAATCTACTCATTATTAAGATTCATTGATTCTACAACTAGTTTGGATAACAACTATTAATTTTACAATTAAAAAAAAAAGATTTTATAATATTATGATGAAGGAAAAACATTAAAAAAAATTTTATGTTTTTCCTTCTTCTTCCATTAACTTGAGATGTAAAGTGTTTGATTACTATCTTAAGACGATAACTTTCTCTCTCTACTTAGTTGTTAGATTATCAAATTGAAATCAACTTGTAAATTAAGATGGAATATAACTTGAAAATGAAGATACGCTTCTAGATATGATAGAATAGTACAATGATGAGAGCAACATTTAAATACTATTTCAACTTCTTTTCTTGCTTGAAGTATGAATAGAAAAAAAATACTATACACTTGAATCAACAGAAGAAGAAGATGTAAGTATAGTATTTCTCTTCAAATGAAGAAGTACTTAGTTTAAATGAAGAAGACGTGATTGATTCAAAGTTCAAATCCACTAATTTTCTCAATAATTCTCTTGCTTTTGTCGGCTTTCTTCTTGTGATTTTGCTCGTAAAACTGTTTTAGTTAGTTCTTTTGCTTGATTTTTTTCTTTATAAGATATATATTTAATCACTCATCTGTATTGAAGTGCCACTTTCCACCGCGTTAGGGTGTGAAATTTTTGTGTTAATTTTCATTCCGATTCCAATAGTCAAGAAAAGAAGCTGATTTCAATATTCATTTCTTATGTAACAACATAGTTATAGCTTCATTTCGAAAAGCAATGAATGTGAGTTTTTTTTTTAAATCATTGAGAGATATGATACAAAGATCAAATTATGATTCTCTTCATTTTTCTAGACAATCTTGATCAAAACATTAATCAATCTATAAAAAGTAACATACAAATAAAATTTAAGTAACTTTCTTCCAATTTCAAATTTCTTCACTAGATGTTTGTTGGTATGGATGATTTTATTGATTTTACAAGATAAATACAAAAGATCTCATCGTACTTGATCAATCTTTTTACATGTGGCACAAAGATTTTTTTTTTCAATTGATCATCCTTTTACACATAGTCAACATTCTTATTACCCAAATTTTATGCAAGGATACGTACTTTATTTGTTGTGGAGCAAATATCTACTTTAATGTGAATATGATACGTCTTTTAAATATATATTGTACACCCAACATTCATTAGTATTTTTCTATTCATGAAAATCAAACAACTCGGCTAGATCAATTGCAAATCGCACATTAACATCTGTGACATGAGTATTATAACGATTACAATCTATCATAAAATTTAACCACAAGCATTTTGTCCAAAGCATCACATTCAATATCTCTAGTATGTACTTCTTATCCCATTGAACTATTGTTTTTTTCTTGTACTCATTACAAAATTTTAAACATATGTGAACTCATTGTCATAGATAAACAAAAACAATTTCCTCTATAATCTTGCCAATGCTTTGTTTATTCACGTTGATTTAATAATTGGCTGCTGATAAATGTTTCTCTTGATTATAATGTGCTTCAACATCTTTAGATATAACGAAACAACTAATGAATCCTATGCATCCTAACAACTAACAAAATGTAGTCAATGTAAATTTTTATAGAATGTGAATTCCACTATGTTTTTTAGATGCTATATCCCACACAAATATTTTTTACATTTGCAAAACATCAAGCTTCTTCCATTGGCCGCGTCGGATTTTTCACTGTATTTGATTTTTAATTATATTGCTACTTTTTTGTTACAAATCTGCCCTAAAAAGCATTTCAAAACAAAAATAAATCCACTTTATTGTTACATACTATTTCTTTATTGTATTTGTCTTACTTGTTGAAATACATTTGTTAGAATTGAAACATAATATAATTTGTGATAATTTTAAAAGTTGTTTGACTTTATCCACTTTTAACTGAACAATATTTCCAGATCTTACACTCAACCTAAATCTATTCATTTTTTATCATTTGTTTTCTTTTGAGTTCTTCACAAATTATATTCACCGTTATGTCTGATAAAGTAAATAGTTAATAAAATAACATCATCTTTTCTTAGAAATTATTTTTCAATAGAGCAGCCATCACTTCATTGAAGAAGATCATCATTCTATCACAATGAAGCAACATTCAAGATAAAAATTAATCTAATTAGAAAAGAACTTGAACACGTATTTTCCAAAAAAATTTCAATACATCTTTCAATTTTTCACTAAAATTTTGCACCTCAAGATCATTCAAATCATCAGTATGATCTTGTTTCATTGTTTTTCATCTTGAAACTCATCAACTTTAATGTCGTGTATGGGCAATTTGATAAACTTTTTTATGCTATTTCAATTTCATTTCATCATAAGAAATAATATCATTCTTATATTTAGTCAATAAATTGATGACATGATGTAACACTAGGGTTTAAAGAGAATTTCATTCGAATATGAAACATAAGTTTTGAAGATGAAAAATCTTCAATAGTTCGACTCTCCCTTATATACATATTTCAAACACACACACAAAGATAATGTCTTCTTTCCATCATCCAATTCACTCATAGTGGATTGATGATATGGCACATATAAATAACGAGCATAAAGATTACTGACGTGTCGCTCCAAACTAGCACACAGATTGCTGACGTGACATTGTAGATAATCCATTATCATCTATCATATTCAATCTTAAGTAAACTCTACTTTAGTTCTAACAAACAAAAGATGATTACAAATCTCATTCTTTTTAAGATGCAACGTCCTCGTTGCACAAACATTTAAACTTCTCAACTATCAAAGATGCATTTGCTTAATTTTTAGCTAATTACTAAGTTGATTCATATGATGTATAGCCTTTTTATGTTTTCACCGCTATATGAAATTAGAGAAAGTCTATAATAAACCAGCTAGCTTTTTATTATTTGATGTTTTGTTGACAAGCAACACAACTTCAAACATAAGATTTCACATCCTCTCATATTTTGGACCAATAATGTACTCATTGTATGCTTTTTCACAATTTTTTCCACTTCCACATGACTTAGAATGACTAATGTCATGACTTTTGGTCAACATCATTGTGTGCAATTCTTGATCTTGTGTAATCCATATGCATTGCTTGTAGATTGCCAAACCTCAAGATATTCTTGCCTTTCCAATTTGTAGTGCTCAAAAATTCTCTTCATACACCTTTATGGCTTGTGTCATCTTGCTCCACCAGTCAGCCTAAATTTTCACTTTTTCCATATGATTATAACAAGACATGCATGTGAATTGGTTTTTGTCCTCCACATACACAATTTTCATGTAGAAATGTTGACATCTGATCATTGAATTTGTCGTTTATGTGGTAACCCACTTTCTGTATTTATGCGGAATTTAAAACATTTTTGAAAAATAGTACCGCAGCAGCAGTGTAAATAGTGATCGGTACATTTAAATAGAGTGAAAATGGATGATCTTGTAGAATCATTGAGATACATCGAGAGTCATCGAGTTGGGCGCAATGTCCGGAAAAGGCGCCCGCCTTGAACGATCGACTCTGAAGGAGTTCTCCTTCGGCGCAAAGCGCATAATCCTCCTTCGGCGGTACGCCTTCGGCGCTAGAGGAATCCCTCAAAATCTATGTAATTCACAAACGCCTTGACTTGGTTAGGGTCTCGTTAGAAAGAGCTTGACGCGCTGGTTCTAACGAGCTCCAGAACGCCCGGAACGGACAAGGACTCAGGGAGTTGTGACGGTCGAAAGATACGAAGACTTTTGCCTACGCACAGGCGAAGAAAGTTCGCCTACGCATAGGCGAAATGAGTTTGACGTCGGTGGGAAGTCCGCCGAGAATTTCGCCTACGCGGAAGGAATGCCGCCTACGCATAGGCGGACGGATTTCGCATGCGCATAGGCACTACGCCCTCGGCGGGAAATCCGCCTTCGGCCCTAGGAATCCGCCTTCGGAGGTGGAGCTCGTATGGCGCCTGCGGCGCCAGCGCATCAAGGTTAGGT